ATTTGTAAAAATTATCCAAATATTTTACTAGGTAATCTTTWACGACTTTTTAAACAATTTTTAAGAATTATTATTCTTAGTATTAACATTTTGATAACTCAGAAACGATGAAAACTAATCATTAGAATTTTAAAGAAAATAATTTTCAGAAATTTTCAGAAAAAAGGGAGTTCTCGTTTTGAAAAAAGAAGTTTGAATCGCCACAGGGACACTCCTTTAGTACTACAAAAAATATCAGAAATTTGAAAATATGGTCTTTAGGTATACCTATACTTTACTATACCTACCTATACCTGCCTATACTTCAAAATTCTAAAAATCAGAATTTGAAAAAATGTACTAAGGGAAAACCAAAATACACACGGARATATTTCATGTAATCCAAGTAAAATATTCCACTGCCGCTTTACAGTCATTATTCATTAAAGATGAATTTACGACGATCGGGACTATAGCACTAGTTAAAAGACAATTTTTTACTTTGTTTTAACTTTTTTAACGAGTTGTACACTATTAGTACGTATAAGTATTGTGCATTAACAATGACTAATATTAACTTATATATATATACAAACACACGATCGGCTTACTAACACTAAACAGTCACTATAAAATAAATGTATACACAATATACACATACAGMCATATAGGGTAATTCAATATGATTCATMCAATTTAAAATGCTTATTTTTAGTTTTAAGGTTTAGAGTAATAATTGATACAATACGGGACATTAAGCAAAATTAATAATATTTCAAATTTATTAAATGGTACAGATAAAATATGTTCTACGCGACTTTTAACCTTCCCTTGATCACAAAAACAATATCCAGACATCTATAGTAGGTAATCGAGTCTGAATTCGAATTCATTTTCCATTTATTTCACTTTATTATTAGTATATTTAGTATTATGTGTATTACATAAAGTATTATTCGTTACCATTTTCTCCTTATAAATTCGTGGGTTTTCGGGCGTATCTCATCAAATTAATTAAGCATCATACAATTATTATCACTTATCATTTTAAAAAGAAATACAAGCATGGGAATAATTATAGTCAATAATGTGTTCACACGGTTTGAAGGAAAACTATTAACACTCCTATATTAAAACAAAATGTTGTCAAAAAAAAAGTTGGAACTAAACGAAACGTTTATTTTCTCATTACGGTTTCGTATCCGACGATCGTTCATTAGAAATAGTATTATTAATCTGATGTACATTCTATACATATGTTTGTCGTATGTATCCGAAGTGTTTTGTTTGATATAGAATGTAACATAATATACTACGCATTTATATATTATAATATACTCGTATATATATATGCGTATGAGTACGGCACATATCAGACAATTATTCGATAGATTTCAAAGGGAACCGCCGCCGCCGCCGACACGGTTGCGTGTCGTGTTGGCGTCAATCCTTTAACGCGACTCGGYTCGATCGCAACAGTTACAACAGCAGCAAATCCTATAACGACCGCACACAATAATATACGTCGATATAATACTGAATTCGACACGGCTAATGAATGTTTCAAACATTGTATTATACGTCATGTAATAATGTGTATATATACACTGCGATCTGGCAATCGTAATAATCATAAATAACACACTGACGATAAAATAAAACGCAGATCCCAGAAAAATATAGAAATACGGACTTCGGCCGATCATTTCACGTGCAGTTATTTGGAACCACCGTCGCTGGTTCACAAAGGAATAAAGGAATTCTGGTATAATAATATTCTCGCCGAAATCCCTATGCTCAAACATCTGGAAGGGTGTCTCGTGTTTTGGAAATCTCGTATACAGAGTGAACAGTGAACACTCGCACACGCAGAAGACCTCTGCACCGATAAACCGCGATTTCTTTTTGTCCGTTTATTCCGGTCAACTGTACGCCGCCAGGTCTGTTCGCCGTATTTATAGGCACAACAATACACGATAAGACTCACGATGCAGGCAGCACACACACAAACCTCTCACACAAAAGACCTTTTGTACGGTCCAAAAAAAAAAATAAAAATATTTAACGCGCGTTACAAATGTTCCTACGGTTCTTTTGTGAATAAAACGCCGAAAACTCGCACATATGACCCCGTGTTAGTATGGAACAAAAAATGCAACTCTTAGGTGACGGTGGAGACTTAATACGACGACTACGTTGTCGATTGCTGCTGAGGACAAAAAAATAAAATAATAACCGAAACTACTTAATTCTCCATCTTGGCTAAATAGAATAATAATAWAGGGCCATAATCATAAAGAGCCAAAGTACTTAATAAACCTCACCTCGTCACGCCATTCCAATTGATACACGACACCGACGCGACGGTTGGTTGTAAAACGCGATTATGTCTTACGGGGCATTTTATAACAAGTAAATATAGGTTCATTTATCTCAGATGCCCATTTATTTCGATTATAATTGAACTGTGATTTGGAAAAAGAAACGTTGTAGATGACGTCAAATTATTACACAGTATTTCCCGTCGAGAACACGTGAAATGTATGAAAAAAGGTCAAAAAGAATACAAGCACATCAAATATAYTAAACATTATACATAATAATATGTTATAGTTAACAGTAAAGTAATTTACTGTAGGTTGCGAGCAGTTCCAAGAGAAATGGACCACCACGTCACGTAAACGCAGAAAACCGCCCTTGTCCCAACGTGTTTAGATTGTTTGGAAAAAATKAATACTCCTCCCGGGTGGCCGTTTTATCGATTTTAATATTATCGTAGTACTTAAATGAGAAAAAAAAAGAAATATTTATAATTCGCCTTATCTCTTGAAATTTATGAGACGTCATGCAGTTAACCAAAAAAATATGTGAGTTCACCGTTTCATTTTTATAATAAACACATAATAATGTTTCAGACGTTTCTCCAATCATATAAACGACGATAAGAAACTGTGTATAATGTTGTTGTGTAAGAACATTTACGAGAAAGGTCAAAGTTTAAAATCATTCCCAAGTCCGATACTTACAAACCTACGCGTGGCAGCGCAATTGTGTATCGACGAACAATTAGTACAATTTATAGAGTATACAATAAAATTATATTGAATGTATAATGTATTATCTAGGTGTACGTTGTTTAGTGTTTTTTTTTGTTATGTTTAGTCTAGTCTATGTAAGTTTGTCGAAGATGTGAAAATACAAAAAAGACTCTTTGTACCTATATAATAATTTATACCCAAATTTGATACTTTTAAAAATGCAGTCAACCAGTCTCTGGTAAAACAGTAGGTATAGTGTGGCATACCAAATCCGATAGGATATACTGTCTTTTACTTAAGCTAAAACAGTTAGTACCTACTTCTTAAATATATATTTAAAATTATTAAAGATAATGACTATACATAAAGTATATTATTAGTATAATCTAAAATACAGAATTGAGTATAGGTAGACATTATACAAAAAAATCTTGTCAATTATTCGTGAAAGCACAACTATTATAAGTTTATAAATTAAGATTTTTATTTCTAGTAGCTTATTTTGTTCTAAGTAGCTATTGAAGTTTTGCAGTCTAGTTAACTCAAATCGAAACGAAGTTTTAGTTAAATCCTAGGTTAAATCTTAGAAGACGTACGATTTATAAATAAAATCAACATTTAAACAAATAACCACCAAATTTTCATAACTTTTCTGTACTCTGTTAAATGTTCAGTCATTCCAGTATTGCACGCGTACCTATGTTAGGTTTATARCACTAGTCAAACGTGTAAAATATTAGGACTTTTTGAGCAGTCTTGCCAGTCTTTGACTATTAAGAAGGGCATAACATTCTGATATTTTTTTTTTTAGCTTTTTATTATAAGTCTAGCTCAACAATTACAATATTCTGATAATATTTAATTTTTAGTAATCGTTACACTCTCTACCCGCATTAGGGTATGCTTACCGAGGGCGTTTTCGGCTTTTGTGACGCACAACCTAACCGCGTTGGTTAGGTACGACAGAGGTTTTAAATGTCTGTGAATTTGGGTACGCGTACGACGGCGAATGAATTATTCATACGTTTTATAGCGCACAGCACTATTATAATAATAACGTCGTAGGTACATGATAATAATATTATTTACTCGAAACAGTCACAGCGACATAACAATATCATAACAGCGACCAGAGTCCGTTATTATCTTTGGGGACACCCGGACACGACGTTCTCTGCATACTAAGACGATACGGTGCGATAAAAGTATGTTATGAAAGCTGCGTACGATTGCGACCGTARAGTTTGTAAGCGACAGCAACGTGTGATTCTGTTCATCGGTCGTGCCTATATAGCCATAWRAKWTKTGT